TCCTAAATCAATTAGGAAAATTGCTAAATCAATTAGGAAAATGTGAACCGAAATCATTCGAAGTGACTCACACATTTGTAGAATTTATGTGAATACACACCTCATGGATGGAGACTATGAATGAGACATCATTAGTGGGATGCAATAATTTCGAAAGAGGTACGTAGGTATATTTTTTTCATTTTTAGGTTATTTCTTTCTTTCTGTGGCGTAACATCATTTTTCTTTTGTCTTCTATAATTCACACACGTACACTTCTTAATTTGGATTTGCTTCTTTTTTGGCTGAAAATGTTCCGTGAATCAATAAAACTTATATTTGAAAAATTACTCCAATTCCACCACTTTAGCCAAAAACACAAATTATATCCTTTTTCAGCCAAGGAAGCAACAAACTCCACTATAACTAAATTACCATTTGAAGCTTTACCACATGAGTTATGTTTGCACTATTTTTTAGTTAAGGTCAAACGTGAAATATATTAAAAAAAAAACAGTAAAAAATACTATGAAAAATTCTACGATTATATATAAGAACTAAGATGGATTATCAGACCTTTTTTTTTGTTTTTGTTTTGTTAAAGTGGATTATCAGACTTTCTTTTCCATGCAACTAGCCACACCCTTTTTAATATAAAAATGATGCCAGTCGCAAAGTATATGCTGGTTGTGTACACTATAGGTGATTTGGTTATTGGTATATAATATACAAATTGAAATTGGACCAAGCAAGTCAACATTGCATATGTATTTCTTTATAAACAAACGTGAAATCATCTCTAAATGAAAACGTATTGTTACAAAAACCAATCACGTCTTAGTTTCATGAATGATGCTGGTTCCAGAAAATTAATAAACAATATCTTGGTAGAACCATACATTTTTTTATAGATTATTTGTTCAGTTAAATAACCTGAGCTGTCAAACTAAATTATAAGTTTAAGTTATCTTCAATACTAACGTTAATTAAAAACCTGAGATATTAAACACAAATCCAATTTTTAACTAAAAAAGGAATTGACTAGAGTTGTTTTAATTATACTGGACCAACACAAAGGAAAATCTTACTTTGTACTCATCACAAATTACGAAACAAATGTCATCAAATATATCCTTGTCCATGTGTAGTAACTTGTGAATGCTGTTAAGGTTTTCTTTTTGTTTCGAAAGAATAATTACGTTATTACATAAAAGAGCAAGTAAAAGAACATATATTAATATATTAATACATACAGTACATGATAAACTCATGTATTAAAAAAACTTCGAGCATATATAGCACTAGATTGTATCAGACTAAGAACTTCACACCAAAATATGGCATTTCCAATTAAAATGCTAATTATACTAATCAAAGTCAAATAGTACTATACCAACTGAAATTCACCATTTATTTAAACCAATGGATTTTCATTTCATTAGTATTTTAGAAAGTGTGATTAATGAGTTAAAAACTTAAAATGCGTGGTCAGACGTTGGGCCATCGCATGCTTGGAGTAAAACTGGAAATGGAATATCAAATTTGAAGCAAACTTCTTGATTTGACTAGAATAATAACACCAGAAAAAAAAGTGAATCATGGTTTCCGTTAGACAGTTAATATGTTTTTACAGATAAAAATTTATGTTTTCAGTATCACAAAGTTTCTTTTTGTAAAAAAAAATTGAATTTTGCCAGCAAAAGATAGTCTGTCTCTTGTAAAAATCATAGGGGCCTAGAGGTCAACGTAATTAAAATATATAACCAGAGTTGTTGTAAGCCTAATTAAAGATTTTTGGTAGCCGGTAAAAATAAATAAATGAGATTTACTCATCTTCGTGTACACGTACGTGGCGATATTGGATTTTTCTTGTTCCTCGTAACAGAGCCAGCAGGTGAAACGCGTCGCAGTTAATCACACTGTTGGAACCATAAAAAGCATTACAAAAAAACAAAAACAAAAACCTGTGAATTTTAAATACCGTAAACAACGACAACAAAGCGCGTGGAGTTAAAATGTGGGACCTACTATGACGTCTTTTTGGATTCTCACATTTTTTTTATTAACAATAAAATCAGACGGTGATTAAGTGGCCGTCGTCCATAAACAGCGTCACTCCGTAAGCCGATAGGTGACAGCTTCAACAAATGTTCTATCGTATTTTCATTGGTTTATTTATTTTCTTTAGATATGTTTCATTAATAAAAATAAATACTAGTACTCATTTAGAGTTTTGTGATTTTAGAAGCATTAGTTGATTAAAAGGTACTAATTGAACATACACTTAATGTACTCCTAAAAATTATAATCAAACGAGAGTAGTTTTCAAATCAATTTTTTTTGTTTTGTTTAACAAAACAAATACATGACAAAAACACAAATTATTTCCATCCCTTCGAGACTAGCTAACATGACATTCGCAATTCAATCATCTAAGCAAAATAAAGTCCAATATCACGCAGTGAAAATCGCATATTAATTCTATTGATCACATGCAAATACTTAGACCCATACGCCATACGAT